AATACTTGGAAGTTCAGTTATCAGAGGCGACTGCAGGAATGAACTCTCATTGCAGGTACTTACACTACCAAAAGTAGTACAATTCTTTAGAGATTCTAGTCAAGTTTTCAAAACAAAAAAATACTTGAAAAAAAGGTCTATTTTGTGTAGTTTTAGTGACTGTATTAGCTCCTAGTAAATGTGAAGAAATTAATTAATTGACAGTCATTTGTTTGCTTTTTATCTATATCTCCTTTTCACATACTTGAGTCTTTTATGATACTGTTTTTAGCCGTGGCATAACGGCTCGTAGACTGTTTCCGAGTTTTTTTTCAAGTACAAACTTTTAGCCCATAGCTCCGTCATCTCTTGACCGATTTGAGATCCAATTACAGTTTTGGACTCGGGAGGTCACATCTTTTCGATTTTTGTCTCCTAGATTAATTTACTCTAATCCTGACTAAAAGAATTTCAGTTTGAGGGTAGGCTGGTAGAGATGAGTAATAAAAACGAATTGGGTATACGCGCGCCCCATTCTTGGTATTGATGGTGCACAAAAATATAGCCAATAAAAAGGGGAAGGTCTCGTATATTAATTTACTCTAATCCCGTGTAAAATAATTTCATGTGCTGCGGCTATTGAGGATTCCCTTTTGTTTTCAATTGTATTTTGTTGCAAATGATTTCTTTTTTTTTTGTTCTTCTTCTCAAAAGTAATCTCAATTTTTCATGAAATCACATAACTGAAATTCCAATGATTGTTGTAAACTAAGCTTTAGGGCCTAACATTTCAAAGCAAAGGCTACTACACTGAATAATCGCTTCTATCTAATAAACTTGCTTTTAAGGCTTAACATTTTGAAACAAAGACTACTGTACACCGAGTAGTTCCAGTTTCCTGTAGGCATATTGTTAATGTCAATTAGAATCCAACTGCAAAGCAAAACTACAAAAATATACATATATGCTTTCCAATTTTATATAGTTGAAGAGGGTCAGCGGTAAGTCTACATGCACATGACGCTCAAAATCGGGTTTCGGTATCCGTGGTGAAAAGAACACAGATAGCCCATTGTGTAGCTTTATGCTTAACAATAACCAATAAAACACTTTATTCATTCTTAACTTTAATGATATAAAATAACAAGTAAGAAGTATTACACGTTCAAATAATGTTTTTCTTAAGTATTATATTGTTTTTATTTTATCTTATTTTTTGGGTGGCAAATAATAAAGTGAAGTCTGACATTTTGTCCGTTATACTATATACATCTGGTCATCATTTGTACCTGTGTGATAAATAACTTCATACACGTAAAGTTCACGTGACTGGGGTGAAACCTGATGTCCTGGTGGTGAATCTGTCTACAAATAAAAAGGTGATTTAATAAAGACAACAAACGCCTGGTTACGACATCGTGGGCTCACGAAAGAGACCTGGGGTGAAATCCACTTCCGAACTGTCCAAGCCCTGGTGATATGTATATTTCTAATATTTGTGTATAAATATTTAATTTCGTCACAATGCTGATTTAATAGAAGCGATATGTTAAATGATTTAGACTTGCTGCGTTGTAATTCAAATTCAATCAAATAAAGTATCATGATTTATACTACGTTGATAATACTTTGTTAGTTTGGGCTCAAAAGTACGTAAAGGATTATCTGGTACAGGGATCGAATCCCCAAATTTTACTGTTTTAAACTCTGAAGCTTACCATTGAGACGTAGGAAGCGTGTCATAAAAACAAGACTCATAAAATCGAAGTAAAAACAGCTTGAGTAAAGTGAGTACAAACAAAATTACACTTATTTACTTGCATTTTTAGTTCAAATTTATTTTCAGAATGAAAACATTTATATAGTGATAAAGGCGTCAAAAACAATAATACAGTTACTTAATAATAGTGTTCGATTTAAACTATACAATACGCTCAACTTTACACTGAAGTTGTCATAAAACTGATCACTTATGTTTTCACCGACTACGTACATATTCGTATTGTTCCAGACCAGCGTTTCCAAAAATACGCCACTCCCAGAGAGGCGTTAAAAAGATCTCTTGGTGCACGAGTGATTAGAGTCAATAATGCAAAATGAAACGTTTTAATATATTTTTTATTAATTAAAATAATAAGTATTTACTAAAACACATACAGCATTTTAATGTGTGTATCCGTGTATCACATCTCGTCACTTAATCACTATTTCCCTCATCTATAAAAAGAAGGGGGAGGGACGCAGGAAACTATATTTATTAAAGTGGGCGTGGATGACAAAAGTTTGGGAAACGCTGTTCTAGACGAATAACAAAATAGTTACTAATTATCCTACGAATAGTGAAATATAATAGATAAACATCCCTAATATATACATATATATTTCTGTACTTACAAACATCACTCACACGTAAAATATACAAGATAGTCTGAAAATGTCAGCCAGTCGGTAGAAATTTTATAAAATAATCTTTAAACAAAAGTTGAAACTGTCTTTTATTAATTAACCTTTACTTTCAAGTACAGTTTGTTTGATTTATTTTTTCATATTTCGTCTAACTTCAAATATGCAAACAAATTCAGTATTATCCTAAACCTTGTTATCTAAAAACGCTACGGGTTCATAGTTTATTTCTCAAACTAAGGAGTTTAGTCGTGAAAATCGCGAGGTGGCGAAAACACTTGCCTGAACTCCAACATTTGTTGTTGTTGTTTATTAGCGATGAAATTGCTAAGACCTTTTTTTTTTCTTCTTCTTTTTTACAATAAACTACCATATTAAAGTCAATCACATTTATCTACTCTCTACCCCACTATTCCTTCTCTAACCGGTAATAGAAGTATTGTTCCTAAGAATTTAAACACTTGCAAAGCTCCTTCCTATAGGTCATATCCGGTACGAATGTGGTTTGATCCTCGAAGCCCAGAGAGATAGGAAAGAACAAAGAAACAGCATGACGACACCAGCACCCATCAAATAGAAAGACCACGACAGCTGACAAGTCCCTGAAAATAAATAAAACATTTAACAGAAAAAGTGGATGTGAAGCGTATTATAATTTGATTTAAATTCTATCACAAATTTACTTAAGACTCAACAGAAGTTATGTGTAAAGTATTATTTAAACTCTGGAATAAAAAGTTTGAAAACAGTGAGAACGGAAAACTAGGTAGCCATTTCGAAGCATTAAACTTATTCAAATACGTCGTTAATCAAAGCGTAAAAAAAAAGTACTTCGTGAAGGAATAAGACTGGTCCCTTCGCTCCTCACAATCTCTGAAAATCTTAGCAACGTTTCGTCGATATTAGGCTATGTCAAAATCTGATTCACTTCTCAGAATCCCTAAAATTCTTAGTACAGTTTCGGCAGCGTTAATTTATGGCCATATTCTGATTCACTCCTCACAGTCTCTAAAAATCTTAGCTACGCTCACTCAGCCTTAGGCTATGCCGTAGTCTGATTCACTCCTCACAAGCTCTTTAAATATTTCTGCAACGTTTCGTCGGCATTAGGCTATGCATTTAAAGAAAACAAAATAAACAACGCAATCTTATATTTCAATCGTGATTTATAAAGCACAATATTTTGGTTTGGTTGTTGTTAAACGCAAAGTTATACCACGGGCTGTCTCTTCTTTGCCCCAACGGATATCGAAACCGCTGAGCCACTAAAGGGGGGGGGGGCGCAATACATATCTTAAAATATCTAGTTTCAAATTAAAATTACTAATAACATCTTACAACTATTAAAAGTCTTGTAAATATTATAATGAGACACGTGCTCTAATAGTATTTCACTCTGAAAGTGGTTTGAAATGAAGGATGGAGATCAATTTGATTCCTTCTGATTTGGAATCAACCTTTTTTTTTTTACCTTCCCAGTTTTTGTTTGTTCAACTTCAAAGTATTAATTCAGTATTATTGACTACATCATAACATTCGCTACTCGTCCTTTAGTGAAACAGTAAAGATTATAACAGAAAAGTATCAATTTCTTCTTAATTGTGTATATCTTGAAAAGAAGTCTTTCATGAATAAAGTTACTCATTTTTGTTCCATTATCAAATATACAAAAGCCTACATTAGGTGGACGAAAATATTTCCACATATTTCAGCCGAAACAAATCGCCTCGTGTTTCTGAGGTATTATCTTACCTAGATAGTAAGAATCAGATATTCCTCCACACACCTCACGTACTTCCCTAGTTCCCCATCCATTGGGATAGATGGCGCCACCTATGACAATTAC